ATCGAACAAGAAAAATAAGGAGAACAAGAACCCCACGTGTGATTCCTCTACTTAGTCCACGAGCACGGATTAAACCTCCACTAATGCTAGTTAGTTGTGACTGAACACTTCAATCAACCTTCAACGGAGATTTGAGCAACGAACACACCACAACACCACCCATGCGCCACCACACGCGCCACCCAAGGAAGAGGGTCGCACGGACAGGGAGGAGAGAGAGAGGGCCGAGTAGAGAGAGATAGAGTTAGGGTTTTGGGAAGCTTGGTTGCTTGTGTGACAATTCACTGTATGTCAACTGTTGTATCTTGCAACCCTAGGCATGGTTTATATTTATAGATCATATCTAGAAATAAAACCATGTCAAGTCCAAAACCCATTAGACTCTTCTAACTATCTAAGCCCAATTATCAACATGGTATGTCATGAACTCATGAGGCCCAATAATGGGCCTCTAACTTGTTTAACCCAATAATCTTATGTGTGACATTGTATGATCCATTCTATAAGGTTTTGGGCCATTAAGCTAGCCCAAAGATCAATTGTCATATCTAGCACCAAACATTGACGACCCTATAGAATGAACTAATTATCTCCATAATCGTGATCCTTGATATATCTAATAATTGCACTTATCGAAGACATAATTCCTTCAACTGGCACCTCAACAGTAACAGTGAACTGATGTTGCTCCCACAACTCCTTCTCAACTTGCTCTCTTTCAGCCTCCCTCTCTCTCTTTTCAATCTCCCTCCTCACTTATTCAGCCTCTTCCTTCAATCTTCTCTGCCACCCCTTTTCAGCAGCCTAGAATACAATCCCTGGCTCCTTAGTTTCCTCAACCCACATCTCTATTGTATCCTTACCCTTGTTCCAATCCCACATATTTAACATATCCACATTATCCTTAAGCTCCAACTTCCTATTTGTCCTAGGCTTATTGACAAACAAAGTGAAGAATTTAGGTAGAAACACATTTTGTTTCACTTATCATTCAAACATATCTTCATACAACCCCATTAGGTGGCACTTATCAGTATCTTCAACCAAAACATCAAAATCCTGAGACTTGTCATCCTTCTTACCATGGACTAACAACCAAACTCCACTCATCCTACATACAAAGTACGATAAACACACTAATTACATTCCACACATATGAATTTGAATTAAAAAAATAAATAAATAAATTCAAGCTACAAATCACAATCAACAAAACAATTCAAATACCCTAACCCTAGATCGTGAAAATCACTTCACACAACCAAAATCAATTCAACAATACTCCAACAACATTTAACACAGTAATCATATCAATAAATGCAACAAAATTTCACATAAACACAAGTCATTCACACATTCCATAAAACCCTAGATTGTGTGCACAATTTTCACAAAAAGCTGCAACTTTAAACTTCGAAATAGAAAACGAAACAACAGAAATTACCTTCCTTGTTGTTTGAAAACCCCACCCTTCGAATTTTATCACATTCCCTTTCACGAACCAGAAACGTTTACCACATCTTCAAGAACCCACCTTTTTGCCCGATTCAACTGAGATATCACTCCTCCACTCCCAATTCCTCAAAACCTTACCATGCAACTCTTTTTCTGACAAAATTTAGGGCAGAATTTTAATGATGAAGTAGAGAAGAACAGGGGAGAATGGTGAGAGAAAGATGAGTGCGAAAGGGGAAGTTATGAAGACTTTTGATCTTCATCAAGAAGTCAAGTGGAAATATGGCGCTCATTGATTAAGGGCAAAATGGTAAAAACATACTAACGGGGATTTAACGTCAGTTAGGTAAAAGGGAATTTAATGCTAGGGCATTTAATGCTAATGTACTGTAACTGATGGTATTTGGCGTATTTGAAAATTTTGATGGGTATTTGGTGAATAAAAAAATTACTCATGGGCATTTGGTAAAATTTCCGTTAATAAAAATAGAAGAGAGAAAGTGTGGTGGTAAACTTTTTTTATACCATGGGTGGAATAATTTTTGGAGAAAGTATATTGTATTGTGGTATAGATGATGTGGAGGAGTGAGAAAGTGGTAGAGAGAGAGCGATGGTATAAATTTTTATACCATGAGTGATAAAACCCTGATGATCTTAATTTTATGATAACAACTAGATGAAGCCCGTGCGATGCACGGTTTGTTTAAATTTTATTTTAAAAAAAATTTATAAATATATTTATGTGCTAAAATTTCTTATATATTTAGATAAAATTCCTAATATCAAAAGATAATATTTTATATTTAATTAATTTAAACTGGAAAACCTCATTCGCCAATTTTGCTTACATGTCATTTAAATTATTTCATTCTAAAAGAAATTAATAATCTCGTATTTAATTGGCTACCACTAAAATTGTTTATCTTACGTGGCGCGCAAAAAAAAAATTAAATCCTATATGGCTCTCTAAAAACTCGGGAAAAAACTCCCCTTTATATATATACTTATGAAGTCCGTGCGAATGTGCGATCCGCGGTTTGTTAGTATTTTTTAACAAAAAAAAAGAATCATATATATGTGATTAAAATTGTTATTATATTAGTTTTAAAATATTAGATAAAATTCCTAATTTCCTCAAAAAAAAAAAAATCCTAACCTCAAAAGATAATATTTTGTACTTAATTAATTTAAACTTTAAAATCTCATTCGTCAATTTTGCTTACGTGGCATTTGAATTATTTAATTGTAAAAGAAATTAATAATTTCTTATTTAATTGGCTACCACTTAAATTTATAATCCTACATGGCGCGCTAAGAAAATTAAATCCTACGTGGCTCTCTAAAAACTTGGGGAAAAACTCCCCTTTATATATATATATATATATATATATATATATATATATATATATATATATATATTAGATTAGATCGAATTCCCCTTGATTGAAAGTAGAACTTCACATTCTAGAGATTGACAAATTCGTCCATAATTACATTATTCAACTTGATATTCTACAAAAGACTTCAACAGAAATAATTCTTACCCATTCGTACAAATGCATAGTATCTTAGGATTGCTGGAGAAAAGCAGAACACATAATCACATAGGCAAGAGATGACTCAAACCGACCAAATGCTCAATCTCTTACGATTTCTGGTGAACACATAGTAGTGTAGACAAGAGATGATCCAATGCAGACACCTTGACTATTTTGGTTTCAGTATTTTATAAAATGTCCGAAAATTTACCACTCCACCTACATTACTCTGTCTTATATCTATAAGCTTCATATAGATACAGTTTATCTGCAACAGATAACCTGAAGTGCAAGAGTACTAACATCATGATTCATGAAGTGCATGAAATACCAAGCATATACCTCTAGGAGGCTTTGATTTCTAAATTTCTAATGAATTAAGATCAAGGACGGTTTCATATTCTAGTTCTGGCGATTGCTTTATTTCTATATCTAAGAATCATATAAACTTTAAGCCAAATCTAATTTGATGTAACTGAAAAAACCCTTGGGTGTCTCAATTCAAAGCATTGGCAATTTAATTAATCAATTGTTCTCTTAAATAAATTAAAATTACAGAGTAACAAATTGTCAGAGATATCAAGGTAAATACTAATTATAATGAGATCAAGAGAGGTTCACATTCTAGAGATTGACAGTTATGTACTTAAATCAATAAGCTGGATATTCTACAACTTTTACACTAGAACAAATTTTTTACCTAATGTTACAAATGCGTATTCTTTCAGGTTTGCAGAATATGCACATAAAGACACCTCCACTATATTAGGTCTCAGTTTCTTGAGCTGCGTCCAGGAAATTACCCAGCTCCACCTACATTAACACCGGCTTTTATCAAATACTCGTATTGTGCACATTGACATGTAATGCATCTGACTCTGAAGCTGAAGAGAAAGAGCATCAGCATCCAAACAGGAGTGCATTGTGCATATAACCTCAGGCGCATACCTCTAGATGCTTCATTCATATCATGAACCTTATAAACTAAGTGAAATGTGTACAAAAACTCTTAGAAGAGTCGGAACTCGTTATCAATACCATATCTCCACTGCTTGATTGAGAGCATCATTGAACCTTGTAACTCTCAAGTCAATCAAGCCCTGATGTAACTAAACGCAATATTTCAGTAGCTATCAAAACCTTCAGAATTTGTTTAAGCAACAAGTGAAATGAGTACAAAAACACTCTTGGAACCCATCATCAATAACATGAATCCATGATTAAATGTGAGCATAAGAGGCAAGTAATTCGGAATGCACAAAAAATGAGATCAAGAGAACTTCACATTCTAGCAATTGACAAATTGTCCAAGGTTCCATTGATAAGCTGCATATTTGAGTATTCTACAAAAGGTTTACTTACGAAACAAATCATTTACCTACTCTATTACCCAGCTTCAATTGACATTAAACTGGCTTCTATCAAATATTCTGCACATTGACAAATTAACATATACAATACAATTCACGAGTATCAGCAATCAAGAACTGATTATAACCTAGGTGCAGAAAACCTCAGGCATACCTCTAAATCGCTCGATTTCAAATATAATACAAAGTACTCCAAATTGGAAATGAATTGAAGATACGATTTCATTGACATCTCTTCATTGCTTCATTCTGTCATTCTAAGCATCGCAGAAACTTATATTTCAAAGCTCTCAAAAAATTAAAATCTAATATAAGTAAATTAAAATTATTGCTCACTTTCAGACCCTCTTTTGGATCTGTTTATGCATTAGATGAAATCATACACTACCCTGGCAACTCATCATCAACACACAATCGAACTCAAATTACAAGGAAATATGGTCATTTCCAAATTCATATTAGTAAATTAACTCAACTAAACCCATAAGCATTACCTCTAGATGAATGCACTGTCAAATCAATTGATTATCTTACACAAACAAATCGGTAAATTGCTTCAAATTTCAACAAAAATTAAAAGAATAAAAAATACAAAAAATTAAAAAACAAACAATAACAATAACAAAATGGGCATCAATAGAGAAAAATCTGCAAAATAATTAAAACCATGATTTCATTCATTATCCCAGAAATAGAGACAATACCATCAAAACATTTACATCGACATCAAATCCTAATTATCATCAATCTAATTCTCAAGCTAAATCCCCAATTCAAACAAACCCAAACCCTAACCCTAACCTCCGAAACCGTAGAGAGTACGACCCTGCCTCTTAAGAGCATAGACAACATCCATAGCAGTAACAGTCTTCCTCCTGGCATGCTCAGTGTAAGTAACAGCATCACGAATCACATTCTCTAGAAAGATCTTAAGAACACCACGAGTTTCTTCATAGATAAGACCACTAATACGCTTCACACCACCTCTTCGAGCCAATCGACGAATGGCTGGCTTAGTGATACCTTGGATGTTATCACGAAGAACCTTCCTGTGACGCTTTGCGCCGCCCTTTCCTAGCCCTTTGCCTCCCTTTCCTCGGCCTGACATTGTTGATCTTTGAAAAGCTTGAATATGAAGAAGATGACAGAGATTGAGGAATTGAGAGGAGAGAGAATTTGGGATGGTTATGAAATGAGGAAGTGAAGTGGGGGTTTTATAGGGAGAGAGAAAGAGGGGGGGAATTTATTTGGACGGTTGATTTGAGTTGTGTTGGACGGGTAAAGATGGTGATCCGTGTGAGTTGTGAAAGGAAGATCTTGACCGTAGATTGTCTTTAATCTATGGTTGAGATTAGATGGTTATTGAGTGTTGGATTGGAATTTTCCTCCCAAAATTTCATCTTACCGCTTTTTTTTTTTCTACCAGTTTCATGCTACCGCTATTTAATTTGACTCGTTAAGGGTTTAACGCTACGCAAAATCTAATATAATATAGGAAAAATACATTTTAATAATTCCAACTTTGGCCAATTTACTTTAAATAATCTCAACTTTTGATTATTCTGCAATGATCCCAACTTTCATATGCATTTTCTTTTTTCAATCCTATTTACTAGTAACCTGGAGAAAGGGTTAATTTTTTGTTAAAAAAATATAATTGCCATGTGTCGCTTGTTTATTGGTTCATAAAAAAATTAATAAGTTTTAAAAAAGAAAATTATATATATATATAAAAAAAAAAAAAAGCCACCCCAATCTGCCATGACCACCATCGTCGCCGGTGGCCACGGCCTCCCCACCCAGCCGTTTATATTTCCGTTTTCCGACACCCATCACCAACTCCCGATACCTCCACCCCGATTAACATAGCCCTAAAACCTTGGGAGCTTTGGACGGATTCGAAGATGGGGGTGAAGGGAGGTCGGTTTCTAGGTTAAGGGAAGGGAGAAGGTCGGTTTCGGTGGTGTGGGAATTGAGGGGGTGTCGATTTTGACGGTGTGGGAAGGGAGAAGGTTGGTGTTCTGCGTTTAGGGAAGGGAGAAGGTCGGTTTTGAGTTTAGGGAAGGGAGGAACGGCAGTTTCGGTCGTGTGGGAGGGAGGGGGCGTCGTTTTCCGAGGTGGGTGTGGGATGGAGGGGCCGATTTTCGGTGTTATGGTGGTTGGGTGGCGAAAAATCGGTGGCTAGGGACTGGGAGGTGGTGGTTCGAGGGTAGGCTGGGAGAAGGGCCACCATTGGTGGCTGGTGGACGTGGTGGCTGGTGGGCGTGGACGTGTGGTGGCTGGTTGTTTGGATTTTTTTAATTTTTTTTTCTTTTTTTTAATTTTTTTATTTATAAACTAATCACATGTTGACACGTGTGGGTAACCTAGAATAATGGATTGTTGATTTTTGTTGACCGGTTTGGGATTGAAGAAAAGAAAATGCATATAAAAGTTGGGATCATTACAGAATAATCGAAAGTTGGAATTATTTAAAGTAAATTGGCCAAAGTTGGGATTATTAAAGTGTATTCTTCTTATAATATATATATATAAAGGGGAGTTTTTTCCCGAGTTTTTATAGAGAGTCACGTAAGATTTAATTTTTTTAGCGCGCCACGTAAGATAAACAATTTTAGTGGTAGCCAATTAAATACGAGATTATTAACTTCTTTTAAAATTAAATAATTTAAATGTCACGTAAACATAATTGGCTAATGAGGTTTCCCAGTTTAAATTAATTAAATATAAAATATTATCTTTTGATATCAGGAATTTTATTCAAATATATAAGAAATTTTAGCACATAAATATATTTATAAATTTTTTTAAAAAAAAATTAAACAAATCGTGCATCGCACGGGCTACATCTAGTTATCCCAAAATCCAAATACCCTCTAGGAAAAGTATTGTGTAGAACGGTCTCACGTGAGTCCAGTCACATACATTGAAAAAAAAATAAAATTATTAATTATCAGAAATAGATAATAATGGTCAGATATTAAGTTATAAGTATTATAAATTAGATTAAAAGTGTCGGGAATTAAATACTAATGGTCAAATATTAAATTAATATAGTCAGATATTATATTATGATTATTAGAAATTAGATTATAATTATCACATACTTGTTTTAGATTAAAAGTGTAAGAAATTAGATTACTATAGTCAAATGTTGGATTATAAGTTTATAACTATCAGATATTAGACAAAATTTCAATACAATTACGTCAGTACCTTCTGAGCCTTTACTAGGCAATAAAGGTACACCTTAAATGGAAATATTACCCTCGTAATCTCCTTCAATCTCTGGCTCTCCTTCCTCTTCTTTGCTCAATTGCTCGGCTGGGTAATTATCGACTTTCTTCTCTTCTATATTTAAATAAGGAATTTGCTGAAATGGCTTCTTCGAATCCCGATTTGAGGTCGGATAAGGCCTTTCTTTCGCTGTCTTCGCCACAATTCTCAACACTGGTAGAGACTTGAAGAGAAGTAGGATCGTCATTTGTAGCAAAAATTAATGGAGTATCTAGCGAAAGCTCGATGGGTCCTTCTTCCACGGCGGCGAAGAGCGACCATGATTGAGAATTAGGGCGAAGATTGGAGGAGAGAGAGTGGGCTAAAGAGGGTTTGTGGAGCTGATTTTTTCAGTATCAGTTGATGATATAAACAAATCTACTGCCAATAGTCCCTGTAGACACCTAAAAATGTCTCCCCAAAACCAAACCCGATGATAAATAACCTTTCACCGCCTCTATTGGTCGGGTTTAGTATTTAATCCCGAGAGTGCTTAAAAAATCGTATTTTATTAAATTCATACCTTTGAAAGGTCCATGGATTAGTCTTGATGTTTGGTAAAAGCATAGTTTTAATTTTAGCCCGAACTTATTAATTAATTTTAAGCCCAAATCTTTTTATTTTATTATTTATTTTTATTTTCTTATTTTAGCCCGAATAATAAAAGTCAGAAAAAATCCCGAAATTATCAATCGGCACTTAAAAAGCCGAAAGAAATTAGGGTTAAAAATGAATTTAGATGGAAAATTGGACTGGAAGTGACCGTGTCACGGGCACCCTTCCCGTTTGACGGTGGGACTTCCCGTGACACGGGAGGTCTGCCGTGACACGGGACGTTCCGTGTCCTTTCCGCGTAAACCCTTAACGCGTTTTTTATTTCGTTTTCTGAAAATTTCCCGCGTCACACCAAAAATGTACCGTGTCACGGGGAAGTGTACCGTCTGACGGTACAGTCTAACCGTGTCACGGTACAGTCTGACCGTGTCACGGTACAGTCTGACCGTGTCACGGAATACTTTTTTAGGGTTTTTATCATTTTAGGGTTCCGTGTGCTCCCTTAGCACATTTTCCCTATAAATACCCCCTCATTTCTGATGTACGGGGCAACCAGAATTTTATGATTCTTATTTTCTCTCTTCTATGCTATTAACCTAAACACTAGCCTACCCTTTTCACTTCAAAATTCCTTCTTCAAGCACTCAAAGGAGTCCATATTTTACTCGAGGTTTTGTCCTTAAGCCAAGGCGTGAAAGGTAGAATCGTTTGAGGGTTTGGCCCCAAAATCAACCTTATTTTATTTTAATTTAATTTAGTTATTGTTTTATTATTTCCTTGAAGTTACTAACTCGTTTATTATTTTGTAGTTGCAAGCAAACAGATTCAAAGTAAGGATCATGCTCTTGTTATTATTATTATTTTTTCTAACTATTTTTATGTTGTTGGAATTATGATTAAATTGGTTTTTATATTAATATTGATTCTATTATTATTTTTTTATTGATCACCATATTGCATGTTTAAAGGGAATATGTAATTGAAAATCACGCCTAATAAGATAATTTGGACAACCGGTTTAGGATCCTTTTAATCTTGTTATTAATTGAAGTGATCACCAAATTTTTAGAATTATGTATGCATTAATTTTAAACCAATTTAGTTAAATAATAGTTTGGAGTGAATTGAATTATTGTTTGTATGCCTTTGAGATCACAGGAATGTTTTTCAATATAAGAATCGAGTAGAGCCCAATACGGGCGAATGTGACTCCATGACTCACTTCGTACCATCATCCCCGATCCTCCTTTCGTGGTTCCAAACCATATGGAGTTAGTAATCTCATGGATTATGAATGGGGTGTAACCTTCACGGGTCAATCGTTGTTGCCTTCGTTGTCCCTTATCGTGGTTGCCTTTTTATGATCCGTGAACGGTTTACAAGTTCCTTAAAAACTTGTTGGCGGCTCCCTACTTTCCTTGTCCCTAATCGTATATGTCAATTTCCATTTCCTATGAGTGCCAAGCATATTCACACATGCTTTAACGTAGGCGCACTTCGAGCGACGCCTACAATTTGGCGACTCCACTGGGGAGGATTCTTAATTATTTATCGATTTATTTAATTAAGATGAGTGGATGAGACTTGAAAGATTCTTGAAAAAATATTCCTGTGATTAATTTGGCATTTTTGCATCTGCATAGACGTTTTAACGTCGCATTCAGGTCTGTCCCGTAGGAAAAATTGGATAACTTGGTTGCGCGCAAAAGTAAACAGGGACCCAGTCAGATTTGTGACTGTCGTGTCACGGTACAATGTACCGTCTGACGGTGCACTGTACCGTGACACGGGAATTTCTGCCGTGTCACGGCAGACCTAAAATCAGTCCGGTGGCTTATTTTCTTTTCTCACAGTCGACTTCCTTCGATTTTTCTGAAAAAAAACGTATGTGTTCTACATGCGTCTTAGCCCCGGGGGATTTAAGCTCTATCGACCCAAAAACGCTCATGGCAATAAGGGTTCATCCGAGTTATTAAATCCACCCAAATCATGGAGTCGAGTTCAATTTCATCACGAACTCGCGGAGCCGCCTGTTGGCATACACCCTCAAGGGAGGCTGCCTTGCTAACGCGTCCAAACTCTTAACCATGGTACCCTTTTGACACCCAAAGCTTGACCAATAGTTGAACATAGATCTCGACCCTAGGTTGCGAACTTTTTTTACATCATCGTGCCTAAATGCTATGTGATTTTTTGGTGCTAACCCTCATGTGTTTGCTCTTTTTGTTTAACCCATGACCGAGGGTTTTTATTCCCACATAGTAATTAGTACGGACTTAAAATCGATTAAAATCTAAAAAAATCACAAAACTGACCTGGAACTGCGCACCGTGTCATGGCATGTTCTGCCGTGTCACGGTGAACAGTGCCG